TAACCACAAATATGTGATGATTAAACAGCATGCAACTGAAGAATGACTGGATCAAAGAAGAAATAAAAGGAGAGATCAAGAGTTACATAGAAATAAATGAAAGTACAACATATCAAAAACTTTGGGACACTGCAAAAGCATTAATAAGAAGAAAGTTCATATCATTACAGGCCTATCTCAAGAAAAAAGAATGAGTCCAAATAACCTAACATTACATCTTAAAAAACTAGGAAAAAAAAGGAAAAAAATAGCATATTGATAGAGGCTTTGTTCATCTCTCTTGCAACCAAATCAACATTGTGACAGAAACACAGAGCAAACAACAAGGTAAGTTGCCTGGGATCTAGATGAACAGAAGCACTACAACTAGGGTGAGAAATAATTAATCAACCTGCAATGGTAGGAGGTAGGATGGAGTGAAGATACAAGGCTGCCTGGACCCAAGTGGCTGAGTGGGACAAAGACTACAGCAACAGCAGACTGCAACTGCAAACTCCTCTTAAAGGGGCCAAGTCCATGAGCAGACTTTTGCGGTGACAGACCTGCTCACTCTGAGCACCAGCACTGGGTCAGCTGCTCAGAGGGGGCAACAAGGACTTAAAGGGAGACCCTGAGATGTCAGAGTGAGAGCAGGAGCTGAGGCTATCTCCAGGGTAGAAGTGCCAGCAGTATCCATTGTTCCTATGTTGAGCCCTCTGCACCTTCCAGTGTACGAGCACAGTGCCGCCATAGCTGATACATCATCAACTACATAAAAAAGGTCATTCTTCCCAGAGGATTCCATGAAACTCTATCTCCCCCAATTTTCTGCCCCACCCAAGCCACATCCAGGAGTGTCCTCTGTGAGTCCAGTGCTACTTGCTGAGCAGCGCTAAGACTCACACTGGTGGCAGCTGACCGCAGTTTGTGATGTGGCGTCTTGAGGCACCTATAAGCACAGCATCTGTGGATTGCTTGTTGAATCTTAACAGGTGGCCCCAGAGGGGCACAGGCTAAGGCTAAACTTAGCCTGAAGTTGAACCCCTCTCAGGACTTTGCCACTTTGACACTTACTTCACAAAGCTGCACTAATAATACTGGGAGACTTAAGAGCTTTGCTTAGTACATAGAAACAGACACAGAAAGGCAGCCAAAATAGGAAGACAAAGAAGCAGAAATCATATGAGAGAACAGAACAGAGATCCAAGAGTAATGGAGTCTAGCAGACGCAGAGTTCAAACCACTGGTTATAAAGATACTCAATGAATTTATGGGAAGTGTAGATGAATTCTCTGAGAACTTTAACAAAGAATTTTTTTAAAAAAACATAAAAATGAAAATGGAAATCATAAAAGGGAACCAGTCAGAAATGAAGTACACATTAGCTGAGATGAAAAGTGTATTAGAGAGAATCAGCAGTGTGGATAACGAAGAAGGTCGAACCACCAATATAGAGGACGGGGATGCCAAGGACACTCAATCAGAAAAGTAAGAATAAAAGAAGCCAAGAATATAATAATAATTTAAGGAGCCTATGAGACATAATGTAAAATGTAAAAATATCCATGTCATAGGGATACCTGAAGGAAAACAAAAAGTTGAAGAGCTATTTGAAGAAATAATGATGGAAATCCTCCATCATGTATCAAAAATATGTATCAAAAACAGGAATAAAAATAGTAATAACTACATTCCTATCAAGAAGTATCTCAAATGGAAAAGAATTAAGTGCTCCAACCAAGAGATAGAGTGGTCAAATGGATAAGAATACAAGCCCCCTACTACATATGCTGCCTACAAGATACTCACTTCAGATTAAAAGACACACACAGACTAAAAGGAAGGGGATGGAAAAAGATATTGCCTTGATAGACCTAGAGGGTATTGCACTGAATAAAATGAGTTGGATAGAGAAAGAGAAATTTTTAATGATTTCGTGTACATGCGGAATCTAAAAAACAAAATCAACAACAGCAACAAAAGCGGAAATAAACTCATAGATACAGAGAATATTTTGAGGGGTACTAAAGAGGAGTGGGGTTAGAGGGACAGTGAAAAAGGCAAAGGGATTAAGAAGTACAAATAGTTACAAAATATAGAGGGAGATATAAAGTGTAGCATAAAGAAAATAGTTAATAATGTTGTAATAAATTTGTAAGAGGGAAGAGGAGTACTAGATTTAGGGAGGTGATCACTTTGTGAGTTATATAGATCTCTAATCATTATACTGTACAATTGAAACTAATATATTATTGTATGCCAACTATAATTGAAGAAAAAACTCATTGAATTTTACAATGTAAATATGAGCAACTAATTTTCTATTATATTTCAATAAAGCCAAGCAAAAAGAAACTAGTTAAAGAGGAGCAAATGAAAGCCCAAAGTCAGCAGCAGAAAGGAAATCATTAAAATTAGAGCAGAATTGAATGAAATTGAGAACATAAAGATAATAGAAAAAAATTAATGCAACAAAGAGCTGGTTCTTTAGAAGACTAATAAAATTTACAACCCGCCGATTAGACTCACTAAAGAAAAAAGAGAAAGGACACAAAAAAAATCAGGAATGAAAGAGGAGAAGTTATGACAGATACTGCAAAAATGCAAAGCATCATAGAAGAATACTATGAAAAATTATATAACACTAAGTTTAATAATCTAGAAGAAATGAACAAGTTCTTAGAAATATATAAGCTTCCTAGACTGAATTGTGAAGAACTGGAAAATCTAAATAGACCAATCAGCAGTATAGAAATTGAAACAATCATCAAAAAACTCTTAATTGCCTCATCTACAATGAGATGTTAACAATACCTACCTCTGAGTATTTAATGAGTTAATATTTCTAAGTTTTTATAGTAAGTGCTATATAAATATGTTAAATATCATTAGTAAATTCTTAGTATTTATAACAGTGTAGAATAACTATATGCATACATAAGTGTCATGGCCAACGACTGAATGCCAGCTAATGTCTTCAGGAGGAAATAATTTAAACAAATTACATAGATATTTTTACATACCTATTAATAAAAGGTTTTTATTGTTGTCATTTGTTTTGTTTTGTTTGTGTTTGCTAGTA